AGTTCTGATTGTTTAAAGCAGTACCTGTGGTGTCTTACTGACTGATTGATTTATATGCTGTGTGCACTTCCTGATGGATACATTACCAGTCAAAAGTTTGGACACACCATTTCATTTAATGGTGTTTCTTTATTTTTACTACTTTCCACATTGTAGATACACACTTGAATACATTAAATATATGAAGCAAGATGTATGGAATTATGTGGCAAAGAAAAAAATGATAAATAACTCTAAATATGTTTTATATTTTGTCTCATTTGAGGACCGCCCCAAGAAAGGAAGACCTAGGGTCACCAACCTCAGAAATTCCAAGTTAACAACACCTCAGATTAGAGCTCAGATAAATGCCACACAGACTTCCAGTAGCAGATACATCTCTACATCGATTGTTCAGAGGAGACTGTGTGAATCAGGCCTTTATGATCAAATAGCTGCTAAGAAACCACTACTAAGGAAAAGGAACAAGCAGAAGAGATTTGTTTGGGCCAAGAAACACAAGGAATGAAGTGCTGCACCAGATGGCCTGGCATCCACAGTCACCTAAGCTAAACCAAATTGAGATGGCTTGGGATGAGATGGACCGAAGAGTGAGGGCCAAAGGGGCCAACAAGTGCTCAGCATCTCTGGGAACTCCTTTAAGACTGTTGGAAAACCATTTCAGGCGACTACTCACTTGAAGCTCATTGAGAGAGAATGCCAAGAGTGTGCAAAGCAGTAATCAGGGTGACTATACTAAAGAATCTAATATATAACACATGTTTTAAGTTATTTCACTCTTTTTTTGTTTACTACATAATTCCCTATGTTTTCATTTGTAGTTTTGATGCCTTTAGTGAGAATCTACAATGTAAATAGTCATGAAAATAAAGAAAAAACAAACTTTTGACTGGTAGTATATACAATACAAAACAAACCCATATACTTCACGCTACAGATGTGTGTTTGCACGCAAACATGGTGACATCTTACTGGCTGTTGAATTACTGTAGCATTGACTCACATTTGATTATTTGCTTGCATATTATATTTGAATGTCTTGCTTACATGGCTCCTTGTTTCTATTATTCAGATCTCTTTCCTAAGTCATAGCTAAACCTAGCTGGAATCCATGAAACAGATGCAAAAAAAAGATCTAAAACAATCATTTTTTTTCTTTTGCCAAGAGCTGACGAATCCTTTGAGAGTTTCAGTATCAGTGTTGAAGCACCAGAATCCTGTGTGTGAAAAACCTAATATCCCTTGTGGACACCATCTGAATTAGTTCAGTACTCCTACTCTAGGTGGAACACTGTTGTAACAGTAATGGATCACTGGCTGCATCTGCACTGATGATGAAATGCCAAGGCCCATTTCAGTAAAGGCTTACTGCACCTGACCAATGTATTTAAAAAAAAAGATTTTTGTGACACAAAAAACATTCCCATCCCTTGAAACACAAATGCATCCATCTGCATTCTGTGTATTTTCTCTTATTTTTATATTTGATCATTTTTCATTCCAAGTTGATGTTTTGATGTCTTGTTTGTCACCGTTTGTTACCTTTATTATGTAGTGAGATATTGTTATAAGTCCCTCTGGATTTCTGTTTCTTTTGCGTGTTTGTGCTGCATTCTTTTATTTATGTGTTTTATCATCTGTATCAACAAAAGTCAAATCTTGATAGAAATCTTTGTATATTCAAGAATTGCAGCAAACACGTGTCACAACTGGTTTTTGACACTCATTTATGGTTTTCAGTTCTGGTATCAGCACATGGTGCAATGTGAAAGTCAAGTTTTTGACACCCCTGAAATAGAGCCAATTTTGTTCTCTGCAATGGCAACACATGCTCGAGTAGTACCACAGCTCATTTGCATATTAATTTGAAGACAGATGCTACGCGGTCTTTCTGCTGTGTGAACAGACCTTAGAACAGGTCTGCGCCCATGCCAGTCCAACTGGAATTGTGTTTACTTGACTCTATCCTTACAAACAAAACACAGATTTCTTTATTTGGAAGAATTAGGTGTTCTCCATGTTGAATTTCTAAACAGCATTAATTTGTCTGACTCAATTTACTTTTTTTTTTTAACTTAAATACCTGAATAGGCTGGGGTTTGGGGTGTGGATAAATACCCTGGCTTATTTTGTCTTTGTGAGTCTGTAATCTAGCGGAACTTCTTATGCTGTCGATGTGCACACAGACACCCAACAATTCTGATATAAGTGCTATGATCAGGTTTAAAATTATAGGACTCTATCTTGTGTTCATTTAAACGCAATATTAACCTTCATTTTCAGGCTGCATAGTGGAAAACATCACTCTGATTAGACACAAAAGTCTATGTGGACTGTTGCTGCATTCATTTAAAAAAAAAAGGTTCAAGGATATTTACCAATGGTGGAAGAAGTAAGTAGATAATTTAGTTTAGTAAAAAGAAAAAGCTGTCCAATAGGCCAAATATGAATTACTGTGGAACTTGTCAGTTTTAGTTTTCAAGGTGTGCTCTTACACAACTAATTCCAAAATTCCTCTGGATATTTGGATATTTCTGAACAAACCTGTAACCAATTACAGCAATGAAATGTGTAAAATAAGAATAAATAAATAAATAAAATGAAAATGTAAATGGACTATAGCATGCAGGGATGTAATTGTATCAAGCTCAACACACATTAGATAAATGGTTTTGATTGGCCCAGCATGGTGAAGGCCTAGTACAAATCTGTGTGAACGGGAGGGGGCCAGATGTATTCTGCCACAACAAATTAAACATGAGTGTTCAGATTTGTTTGGTTCCAGGCTAAAATGCACCATATAAAAGTACTCCAACACAAGGAAGCATCCTGCAAAATGCACTTGTGGGAAGCAAAAATGCAGAAAATATGCACTCTTTAAAGAATCCGTATTATTGGGTTTTTTTTGTTAATCCCTTCCTTTGGTGTATTTTCATGATTATTATTTTTTTTATTGACGTACTTGAACAAGACCAGCATTGTGGGGGGTTTTGGAAGTGGGAGTTTAAAGAGACAGAGGCTACTGTGGGTATGGTTGCACTGGAACATATATGATAAATATTTTGGTTTTTAAGGATTAAATGTTTCTGATTTTTTTGACTCTGACAATGCATTATTAACCTGTACATTGCATAATATGGACACTATTAATTATTTAACACTGATAAAACTAATGAGTTGATTGCATTTTTTCGTTTAGTAAGGGATGAGCACATTTTAAATATACAGAAATATGGTAACTAAGAGAATATATGTTATTTTCCATCAGTGTTGTTGACTGATTTAACTGCAATACTGATGCAAAGAAATGAAAATACTCACACTTTCTTTCATTTTCCTCAGAACTTATTACATTAGCATCTGACTGTGCTGCATCATGCTGTGGATGAAGTGGAAGATGGTGGTGGACTCCCTGCGTGGACGGAGAAGGAGACTGCCCTGTTCCCTCTGGTTTGTCCTGCTCTTCGCTGCTGGAGGTCTGGTTCTCTTCATCCACCAGCAGGCTCTGTCAGAGATGGTCCAGCAACAAGGCCCAGGTTAGTCTGTAGTTTCCCTAAAACAGATTTAACCAGTATGGCTTTTACGTTTACTGATATTTTCCCATTTTTAGATATTCTGATTAGCTAGTTTTTATATTAACCTTTATTACTCTTAGGATTTGTGTGTGTGTGTGTGTGTGTGTGTGTTCCATTGTATTTTCTCAATAGGCTTGAAAAGTTCTCAGAAACCTTTTAGGTGTTTTTTTTTTTCACAGACAAAAACTGTATAAAGTACAGAATAAAAGTAACTTCAAATGCTCCAGTCACAAATCCACAGTCATGAATTTGATTATCACATCCAAAAATGGATAACCAGTAGGTGTATAGTGTCAAAATCAAAGTTATTGATTTAATCAAATTAAAATACTTTAGGCAATAGGAATAAGCAATAAAAGCACAACATTTCATTTAAAATCTAAATAACTGAGGCCCTCACTTTACTTTAGTGAGTGCTTATGATTCATTGATAAGAAAGAGAAGGGAAAAAATGGCATCAATGAGAAAGTTCCAAGGCAAATCCCACTGCGCTGCTAAAAGAAAACAAAGGCTCATCTCACATATGCCAAAAAAAACCCCATCTTGATGATGCTCAAGACTTTAGGGAAATAGTCTATGGACTGTCAAGAAAAACACTTTGGTTGGTTTGACTCCCCTTACATCGGGCATAAAAGTAACACAATATTTCATACAAAGAACATGATATCAACTCAAACATGGTTGTAGTAGTGTGATGATGTGAGGCTGCTTTTCAGCTTCAGAAACTGAAGCCAGCTTTAGGCAATCCTTGCCAAAGTGACTGAAAATACTACATCCAGATAAACAGAATTGACTTCTGGATTAAGCTGGGAGAACTCTCAATAATGTAGATATACACACCATGCAATCAAACTGGGAGACAGAGGCACATTCCAAATCAGAAAGTAGATTGCATGTATGAGCTGTTATATTATTTGCTTTGGGTTCACTAAGGAGCAGAAAAAAAAAGATGGAGAGAGAAGCAGAAAAAAACATTTGTTCCCCAAATAATACCTTTTTCATTCCATCTCATAGAACAAATGGTCAGTTTTCAATCCTCCTCAAGAACAAGGCTCTATATTCAATTTCTAAATGAGTTAAACCTTTATCCTTGCAAAGTGACCCAGTGCCATTGTGCTTGGCACTCAGCGTTAAGAAGATTGGGGTATAAGCAGCCATGATGGAAGAGTGTCCTAATCGTGTACAACCGAGCTGCTTCATGTTTCAGAAACAAGAGATCAGCTGCATACATATGCACAGCTATGGCTTATGCTACAGTTTCAACCAAATGAGAGTGTCAGTCACATTTTTCTACGGCTGTTGGAAAAATCTATGAATTTCATTTTAACTTTGGTATTTTTATTCAGAGACTAAAGGGTGATGTTTCACCTTATTTTGATTTCACAAAATCACTACTTTAAGAACCATGTTCCAGTTGAAATCAAAAGACATCTTCTTTTTTTTAATTAACAAAGTCATTTGTGACATGTTCACAGATTTTTGATCGAAGAAAATTATGAACCAGTCAAGGGAGCTCTTTGGAGATACAATCAACATCACCATCAGAGAGCCTCAGAGTCAGAGAAACTGTAATCCACTAAGTAGGCTATCTGCACTATCATGTGTCAACAGCTCTGTGAATCATTATGAATATGAGTGGTGTCACACTCCACAGCAATAAGAGCCACTTAGCCAGAGTGGAATCTCTCCAACCCTCTAATATTCCCCTGATTGTCAGATGCTTTCAGGCACGGTGTCAGGTGGAAAAAATGGGCATTTGCAATGACAAGCAGGACACACACGGAAGCACACATGCAAGACAAACATTCACATTATGTAGAAACACACAAACTATGACAGCCAGTATTCAATATTCATGAGAAATATCTAACCAAGACCCATAAGAGCTTGTAATGATTACAAGAACCAGATGCTTTGTGAAATCTGGTATGAAACTGTGTTGGAGGTGGACCATTACTTTAAAGGAACAATATTTTTCAACAAAAGCACAACACAGTTTGAGGAGATTTTTAAAAAAAAAAAAAAAAAACTAACAAAAAAAACAAAAATGTCCATACTATGCAATGTATACTCTCTATATAAAACTATATATATGAATTTTAGTAATATTATTATATTATATTATTATTATTTCTAATGTGTCATTTTATTTTAGCCATGTTGCCAATCTGAGACATGATTTCATTCTTTCCCTTAAATTAGTACCCTGGACAGGTTATCACTCTATTGCAGGGCTAACACAGGCAGACGGACCACCATTTAGACTCACGTTCACACCTATGGCCGATTTAGAATTGTCATTTTACCTAACACTTACATGTCTCTGGACTGTGGGAGAAAGTTAGAGTAACCAAAGCGATGTAATTTGAAACCAGGACCTTTTGCTGTGAGACAAAGCTGCTAACTGCTTGTGAGGTAGCATAACATTAGCAGCATGGAAAGTGATAGGAAGACAGCATCTGCAGACTGTTCAAGTTTCTTTTAAGTGTTCTTTCGTTTCTGGCATGGCCTTTCAACAATTGTTTCACAAAACATAAAAACCTGGTAGTCAAAATCTCACCTGCTTTATATAGAATTCCACTCACACCTGGACCTCATTAACCTCTACCATTGGGAAAATAGGGTAGACTAAATAACACAGTCTAGACAAAGAAACCGGAATAAAATCATTTTTCCACTTAATAAACTCATTCACCCAGCCACACGGTTTGAAAAGTCAATCTCTTCACTTAATCTGACTCATGAGGTTATTTTAAATGAAAAAAACACAAAAGAAACACCTTAATTTGGTTACACCCAATTGACATGATCAATGACATCATATCCTATAAAATCAGGAAGTACTGGGGCGGCCCTTCCCATATACCTGTTTTACACATAGCACCTGCTCAAAGGAACACACATTGGTAAGTATAACCAAACTACATAAACAAATGAAAGATTCAAATCAATTAATGATGAAGTGACATTTAGCTTTAAGAACATTTGCACAGATGAAATGAATATAACCAATGCTACCACAAACAGACCCAGGATAGTATGTAGAGCCAAGGTTACATGTGCTGTGTTTACATTAAAGCATTATGATAGACTATAAGATAACAGAACACAAAATAACAATATATGCAAGTGACAAATGGTAAATGAATTCAGTACTAGCCACTTTGTCACACTGCTCCAAAATTTAAATATTTTAAATTGTAGATATTTAGAGTTACTGTTAATTTTTATAAACTTGAGTAAAATAACTATTCATTTGAAATTTTAGAAGAATTTTGAAACTGATTATTCATACTTTTAGTATAACGACATAAAGAAATGGAATGACATGTAGAACACACCAAAAAGGAAAAAGGCAATTCTACATACAGCAGAATAAAAAAATAATTCTTAAGAAATAGAAACTCTAAGCAAAACTAAGTACTGACTTAAAAATTTAGATATGCAGCAATTTTGCCATTGCCTTATGAATTTGGAGGTCACACAGCAAAAACAATTTCTTCAGTCTGACATAGTTGGGCAGCAACTAATTCAAACTAGGCTAAGGAAAAAGGTTGCAACTTCACAGTTACACCTATCAAATGTCAGTGCATATGTTTTTAAACTGATGATTATGTACTGGGGAACAAAAGTGTAGTTTTGGGATCTATGATTAAATAAAGAGGTGAAGTACTGGTGTGGTGCAGTACAGGTGGGTGGGGGTAGCATATTTAAGGCTAAGAAGTCACTAATGACCAAGGAAGGTATGAAGTATATTCCAGCGTCCTCCTATGCCAGAATGATTAAATACATAATGGCTAATATGTATTTGCGTGTAAATGTGTTGTAATGTCTGTTTAAATGCTTTCCCGTGATTATTTTCATGTTGGCTTGAAATAAAATATCTCCCTCTGCTGGTACTGCAGCTTACTGCAACTTCTGCCTGCATAACCATTTCAAACTTCGGAGAGGCAAAGCTAGAAGTATGGTGGAGTGGTGTTTCTATTACATGCTCTGCCATGATACTGGGTTGCTCTATATGTAAAATGGAATATAGTAAAGATGAGGTACTCTAAAGTTAGAAGACACAAACAAGGCTGAGCTCCATATCCGCACACTATGCCGTTACTACAAATAAAGGTTTGAAGTAAAAGGCTCCCAACATGAACAATTAAAGAAGGTGGAGGCTACAATCTTCCTCAAGTGAATCAATGCTAATAAGTGGCAGCAGCATGTCCTTAATGAGTTCTCTCTTTTGATTAGTAGCCATCTTTTCAAACCAGTAGTGTATGTCTTATGATTCGTTTTGCAGCCTAAGCACATCCTTTTATCTCTTCTACTGTATCACTACTTGGAATTGAAGTAAGAATTTCACTTTACTAAATCATGCATGAGAGACTGTGTGCTGTATACAGAACACAGTGGCTACACAGTGTTCCCAGCCCCCTCGCTAAAGCACAATAAGCAAGCAGTATCTTTGCCTTAAGCTATGGTGCTTCACCCGAGCAGAAGCTCATATCTAATAGAGCAGAGTTATAATACATTGGGTGTCAGCTTTTATCTGCCACCCCCTCCTTCTCCACCTCTTTATTTGGCTCACACTGTACTTAGGAGCTTTGTATCCCATGGTTTAGATGGCCTGCACAATGGTAGCTGAGAAAACTGCTCTTTAAATGGCCACAGTCATCTCCTGAACACTCTGAAGTAATTGTTTAAGGACAATTGGAGGAACAGCATCGAGTTTTACAGGGAGAACAGACACCTGAAGAGGTTGCAGTTCAGATAAATTGTCTGCACAAAGTTAGACCTCTAGGCATTTTTCCAATGAGTCTGACTCCAGCTGCTTCAGGGAGTGGAAGGTTGCCCTATGTTTCACCTCAAGAACCCCAACACAGAGCAATCCACAGATGAAGAAGTAGAGCATCAGCTGCTGCTTGGTTGCTTGTGTATTTATTGGTAAGCAAGTGGCTAAATCTCAGTTT